TTTGAAAGGAGCGCTCAGACGGCACACAGAATTTTCATAACAGTGGCTGTTTCTGCACTCTCCTTTTAATCCATATTCACCACGGTGTTCTCCAAGCAGTTCTGCACTAAAATCAAATTCAGCCTTCTTTTTAACCCAGGGCTCCCCCCCCCCCATTCTGCACTAAAATCAAGTTCAGACTTCTTTTTATTCCAGGTTTCCCCCCCATTCTGCATTACATTCCCTCCCTTCAGTAGTCAGCCCGGTTTCAGCCTGCCATTGCCCTAGGTTATTTGGATGCTGTTTTGCCGTGGACTTAAATTGCCTCAAATCGAACACTGAGAAAATCTGGAGTGGCAGGCAAATGCAGAAAGGATCAATAACTAAGAGAATTTGGTCTCCCTCAGTCCCCATTCCCATGTGCGACATGCTGTCTCCAGCTAGCCCTACTTGCTATGGATTATTCACCTGTAACCTTTTGAAATGCTATTAGTAACCCTGGACACTTGGAGTTTCTCCTAGTCTGCCATTTCCACCAGCAAATGTCGTAGATGTGCCACTTCCTGCTGTCACTACTTGCCAAGGATTATCCATTGTGCTTCTGCAATTTTTATGTCATTCCTTAACTCTCATCATCTCTATATATAAATTTAAAAAATCCCCTGACCATAAAATCAACACCCAGGCCAAACCGCCGGACCTAGAGACACCAAATTCGGGGAGAGCACTCCCACCGTGGCGTAGGGATTTTTAGAAATTCGACCCCTAAGTGGGTCAAAAGGAGGAAGATGTGCTCCCCCCATTGATTCCTATGCAGCTGCCAGGCAGCTCTCTCCCTGCACCCCCCCACTCTCATTGGTCAGCTGCAGATCTCAGAGTTCTGAGGTAAAAAAAGCCAACAGTTACAGAGGATTGCAGACAGCTAATGACAGTTGAGGAAATCGGGAGCACCTGTGTGTTTCAGTAATGCTGCTGGTCCAGCCTCTCCGATGGCTTCCAACACACTCCCCCCACCTCCTACACCTAACAGGCAGTTGTCTGTCGGGTGCAGCCCCACCTCCACAGTGGCTGCATACTCCTCCCCCTCCTACACTGGACAGGCAGCTGCCTATCAGGTGTAGGAGAGGAGGTGGGATGGCTTCCAACAGACTCCCCCCACCTCCTACACCTAACAGGCAGTTGTCCGTTGGGTGCACCCCCACTTCCAAAGTGGCTTCTAATACTCCTCCCCCCTCCTACACTGGACAGGCAGCTGCCTGTCAGGTATAGGAGAGGAGGTGGGATGGTTTCCAACACACTCCCCCCACCTCCTACACCTAACAGGCGGTTGTCTGTCAGGTGCAGCCCCACCTCCACAGTGGCTTCTAATACTCCTTTCCCTCCCCCTCCTACACCGGACGCAGCTACCTGTCCGGTGTAGAAGAGGAATTAGGATGCTTACAGCCGCAGGGGAGGTTGCTGCTGGCCCAGCCTCCCTGATGCCTTTAATTATAATCCCCCCAAACACCAGATGGGCCGGTGTCTGTCAGGTGTAGGAGCAGGGCCAGGGTAAGAATGTTTATGGGGAAATAGTAAAGGACATTTCTAGGAGCCATTTCAATGCATGCCTTTCTCATGAACCTGAATAAACGTCCACCACATCACCACTCCCTCACACCAACTCCCCCTCACTCCTCTCACCTCTTACTGCCCCCAAGAAACCTCCTGGCCAACATTGAGCCAGATACACCAATGCTACAAGGAGGAGGCAACTTAGGAATGCAGCAAAGACATTTGCACATAGTACATTTGCAGTGTACTGAACTGCAAAGGCCAAGTACCGGCAAGTTCACCCTGAGGTGCTCAGAACAACACAGTCTCCATATGAGCAAAACAATACAGAAACACAAGTAGAGAGGCTATTACTTTCGTGGAATGTAGCAGTGAAATGACTTAGCAGACGACTGCTTCTTAAATGGATAGTTCTATGTGGTTCTATGTGGTTACAATTTCACTTTCCTGTTCCCTCAATGGGCCTACCATGTTCTTGCTCTTTTTCTTACTTTGAACATAAGAAAAGAACCCTTTTTTGTTGTTTTTTGTATCTCTCACTAACCTAAGCTCATACTGAGCTTTAGCTTTTCTAACTCTCTCTCTCTCTACAAGCACTGGTTATTTGTTTATATTCATCCTTGGTTATAAGGCCCTCCTTCCACTTTCTGAATGAGTCTTTTTTATTTCTCAGGTCTTTAGAAAGCTGTTTATGGAGCCACCTTGGCTTCTTTAGGCTCCTCCCATTTTTCCTTCTCATAGGAATCATTTGTTATTATGCCTTCAGTATTTCACTTTTAAGAAACTCCCATCCCTCTTGAACTCCCTTCTTCTTAAGTGCAGCATAAACATGTAAGCAGATGATAATATTATCTAAACAAGTGATAGACCAAATTTAAGTATATACGAAGGTGTGCAGAGTAGCAGTGGTCAGTTCTGTAATGGTTGGAATACAAATTTGTTGAGTTTGGAAACTTGGAAGGGGGCCATACAATTTACCCATTTGTTTCTTTCACATAGTCCTTTCAGTTGCATGAAAGAACCCTTAAGACCCCAATAACTGGAAAAGAAAGACTTATTAAAAATACTAAATGGGTTTTCAAGGTGTGGGTGGTATTTCTTTGGGGTGTGTTGGGTAAGAAGTGAATTCACATTCCCTTTACATCACTTTGTCCTTCTCTGTATCTAACTCATATGAGACTCTACTAGCTCCAACAACTTACTTCCCAATATGAAAACATATTGAATACTGAAGAACTCCATCACATACACTAACAGCGAGTGCTCATAAATAAAAGATGAATGATGTCCTTCTCATACAGGATCTGAGAGGGAAATAGAAATTAGCTCCATAAAAGCCATAACCAAGGCATAGTTGGGAGGGGGGAGGGATTGACTGTCACCTCATCTTGATTTGAAAATGGATGGGCATGTATGACTCCTTGGTCACATGATCTGGTTATACTCATCATGGCAATCAATGATCATTCCATTGAGAACGAGCAGTTGGCACTAAATAACTTTTGTACACGAACTTGTCTTTCAGCACCTAATCGGCAGAAGGTGGATCATAGGTGCACTGAATACTCTGAGCTAGACAAAAACTTGGGGTTTTGTGGGTTATAATATATCCAAGTATGACAGGTTGAACAAATATGTATACTATGTAGTTCAGCAGTTCGAGACCTGGGGGCCGCATGATGGAGAGAGCTCCCGTCTCTAGTTCCAGCTCCTGCCAACCTAGCAGTTCGAAAGCAAGAAATTGCAAGTAGATAAATAGATACCACTTCGGTTGGAAGGTAACAGCGTTCCGTGCGCCTTGGTGTTTAGTCATGCCGGCCACATGACCACGGAAACGTCTTCGGACAGCGCTGGCTCTTCGGCTTTGAAACGGAGATGAGCACCGCAACCCTAGAGTCGGACTCGACTGGCTTTCGAGCAAGGGAACCTTTACCTTTACTTTCTTTCTCCTTAGATGTAGTTTCCCTTCCTATATTTTCAGTTGTAGTTTGTAGTGTTGTGAAAAAAACAATAAAAAACTCCCCTTAGGGGGATGCAAAAAAAAAAAAGTTTTAAAAAACACCAGGGACCTGATGAGGCCTCAATTCCTACTGAGATCTTTATGTATAGAGTGCACATTGTGCCTCAGTGGGACTTTCCATTCTATATGTAGATTCCACCAATCACAATTACAAGCATTTTGCTAGTGATTTATTATATTAGTAAATCCACTGAGTATTTAAGGTGTGTCATTCAAAACCAAAGCATGCATAGCTCCTTTAAGAAATCAGAATGTTCAGGATGGGGGGTTTAGGTTTTTGCTTTTTTTGCTTTTGTATCCGTATGAAATGATGGAAAGGGAATATTTATCACTTTTCTCCCTTGCCAGACATCTTTGTTTACAAAAATATTACAAACAAACAGAGTTATCTAAAACCATAACTTATTTTTCAGGGTTAATTGGAGTATAGTTAATCTGAGAAGCATGCTGTGTAACCGTGATAGCATCCGATGAACAAGAGGTGTTTTCCCCCCTAAAGTTTAAAATGCTTTTTTTTTTTTTGCTTCTTAACTCTCAAAATAAGCACCATATGGTGTTAGAGCTGGTTCCCCAACTGGCCTCCCAGCTTGTTCTCCCACTGGCTTTCTGTCAAAAGTAAATCCTTTTTCCCTGCGCATCAGAGCAAACTGTTCATCTTTTAAAAAATGTAACCCCATAATTTGTAAAAGCGAAGATTGGTGAGGCACATCTGCAGTCGTGTGCAGGCTCTTATTTACTGTTTATGTGAAAGATGCACTGCGTCTGGCAGAATGCATCCAAAGGTTTCAAAATAATATATGAGAAAGATGTTATGTCTCTTTATTTCACTGCCTTACCTCCTCCTCTCCTCCTCCTCCTCCTCCTCCCCTCTCCTCCTCCTCCTCCTCCTCCTCCAGGGTGTGGTACACATTGGTTACACGGACTTGCCAAGTCGCATGGCTACCCAGGCCACTAGCCTTTATTCCAACAACATCTTGAAGTTGTTAAAAGCGATTTCTCCTAGCAAAGAATACTTTTACTTTGAGCCAAAGGATGATTTTGATTATGGGACGATTGATCATGTCATTAGAGGGACTATGGTGATGAAGGTGAGGTTCCTCCCCCTTACCCCATAATGTGTTATTGAATACTTTAACACAGGTATGAAAATGCATGGAATGAAGCTCAGAAGAGAGAAAACATTCTAAGAGCAATCACGGTGGGCTCTTTTGTGGTGTAAACCAGACCTTGCAAATTGCATTCCAGCAATCAGAGCACTCAGCCATCAGTATTATCCTGTTTCTCATGTAGCACTCATTGCCCACCTTTAATTTTTTTAAAGTGGCCTGTGCATGATTGTTTATCTTTTGCCTTGGTCCCCGCTCCCTCCATATGTTTAAAATAGAGTTGCAAAACTGTCCCTGGGAAGATGAGCATTGGTAGCACTATAGGCACAAGCCAGTTGGTGCTCTCCACAAACGGCTCCAGGAAAGAAAAAGGTATGTTTGTACTTAATGTGATGAAGGTGCTTTCAGATCATTCCCACTGCTCTAACAATGGGCGATTCTGCACCTAGCGTTCACTCCACGTTTTCTCAACTGGGAGGGAAAAGTACAGCTCAAAACCACATTCAGATACCTTGAGGCAACACTGTACTGACTGCAAAGTCACCTCTGAACAGCCATAAAATGGCCATAAATCTATGCAGAAGGTACAATAAAATCCAAGGATCAAAGGACTCGAAAGTGGCATGGGGTGTGGAAGCTATCATAAACCCAGATAATCAAAAGAAGTGAAACTAGCATGCAATGCAGAGGGGAATTTCTGTTCTAGGTGTGTGCAAAAAAAATAATAATTCTGCGGGTTCGGATTTGGCAGAATCGGGCAGAATCAATTTCGGCTGGCAGTAAGACTCCCGCATGTCAGTTTTGTCAGTAAGAGACGATTGGGGAGTCTTTCGGCCAGCCGAATGTCAATTTCAGCCCCATTATATCGTATGGGCCAAGAAGCGACAGTTAGAACCGGATATGGAACAACTGATTGGTTTCGCATAGGAAAAGGAGTACGACAAGGATGTATATTGTCGCCTTGCTTATTTAATATATATGCAGAGTACATCATGCGAAATGCTGGCCTGGATGAATCACAAGCGGGAATTAAGATTGCTGGGGAAAAGATCAACAACCTCAGATATGCAGATGATACCACTCTAATGGCTGAAAGTGAAAAGGATCTAAAGAGCCTCTTGCTCAGAGTAAAAGAGGAGAGCGCAAAAGTGGGCTTGAAGCTCAACATCAAAAAAACTAAGATCATGGCATCCGGCCCCATCACTCCTTGGCAAATAGAAGGGGAAGTCATGGAAGTAGTGACAGACTTCA